ACAATTTACAATAATCTGTGGTAATTATACATTCTTTGGTGAAACAATCAACATTAGTTCTGGATCCCAACATCAAGCATGTTGTAACAGCAAATCATTGAGAGTGTATGCTAATTTTACAATTTAAAGTTGTCAGTGGATAACAGTATCTTCCTCATGTGACTGTTATTATAATAATGCCTGCCACACACTAGCACTCAATATTTGCTCAGAAAAAATTTCTGTCCTTCACAGTTGAAAAAGTATCAAACGGTTTTGCCCCATGCTGGCTCATGACTGTAATCTCAGTACTTTGGGAGGCATAGGTGGAAGGATCGCTTGAGGCCAGGATTCGGAGGCCAGCCTGGACAACATGATGAGACCCCCAAATCTACCCCCCAAAAAAGAAATTAGCCAGGTATGGTGGCGCACACCTGTAGTCCCAGCTTCTCAGGAGACTGAGGCAGTAACATTACTTAAGCCCAAGAGTTCAAGGCTGCAATAAGCTATGACCATGTCACTGCACTCCATCCTGGTGGACAGAGTAAGACCTGGTCTCAAAAAAAAAAAAAGTTTTTCTACTTATTGTAAGTTGAAATTTTACTATTTTGAAAATATCCCACTGAATGCAGCCACATTAGAGTATCAAAATAAGTGAAAAAGGAATTAAGAATATCAATCATTGCCCACTGTGACATCATGAGGTCCCAAACATTATAATCAGAGCTCCAAAAGGGCATCTGATTCCAATTCATCATAATGCTAATAATTGTATAAAAACAAATTATATACCTGTTTTTATTTGTACAACTTTAATTTTAAAAAATTAAAATTCTTGCAATAAAGATTTATCATAAGAGTCAAAATGCACATAAACTTACTAGAGTATAAGTTACTATCTGGCCTCATTTATATACCTGTGAAATTCCAAGTATAAATCCACATAAAATAACTGGCATTAAGAGTGGCAAAGTGTTTCTCAAATGTTGCTTTTGATTTTATCTAAACTCCCACTGAAAAACTTATGAATCATTTCTGAAGGCTAGGACAATCTTTTATTATATTATTTACTGATTATATTAATGTTTACATAATTATTTGCTCTGTGGAACAAATAATTTTAACTAGTCTAAAACTAGTCTTTAAATCAATTAAAAGTTCTTTAACATGAAGGCAATTTTTTGGCGTCAGCTATATTTTAAATGTTTGGAGTATCCATTCATAATTTTAAGTATTTCTGTAAGCAGAACAGAAAGATCTGTCCCAATCAGGACACTTTCATTCTGCCTTTGTAACAACTAGTTTAACTGTATCCAACTCTAAAGTCTATTTTAAAGTTTCCCAATCTAAATTCAGTTATACACTCTGAATACACTCAGTTATACACTCTGAGCATCATTCAAGCATACAGAACAGTCATCTGGAAGAAAAACAGGAAAGGAAAGATTAACTCTGAGTCTAGTAACATTAACAATAAGATGCTGGTTCAATTTATTTACATAAAACTATTACTACATAAATGATAAAAGGTATGACTATCTTAAAATTCAGAATTCATGTTAGTAGGTATCATATACTGCATATCAGCATTTTCTAGGTAAATCAAGACAGCTAGCATGCCTTATTTTATATTTCTACCTTGGTCACTTAGCCCCATCCTTGATTATAGTATGTGTTAAATAAATATATTATGTGTATCATTTAATACTCTTAACAACTCTGAGCTACACATTATTATCTTCTCATCACAATAAAGAAACTGAAGCTAAGAGCACGGATGCAGGTGAACCTGCACACAGTGGCCTAACGTAATCCTACATTGCCCTAAGTCGCAATGCTAGTGGCATTATCAAAATGTTACTTCAAAATTCATATTCGGGGAGAGGGGGGCATGGGCAATTATGTAACCTTAACATTTGTACCCTCATAATATGCTGGAAAAAAATTTTTAATTTATATTCTTTCAATTATACCATATCATCTAAATAGCAAATACATCGTTATTATTATGCTCAATAGTTATATTATTCTTCCTAAGTTATTTTCCTGCATAATTGCTTTTCAAAGAAAATATCCTGAGGAGCTATTGTCCCTTTCATGTTCTACAGTAGATACTTAACAAGCTGCCATTCTACCATCCATTCCCTCCTTCCCAAGAATCCCAGATTTCTGATTTGGGAACTCTATTTGGGGATCCTTGTTCCCACAGAGTCAAGGTAAAACACGTGTCCAGTCAGGGCACTGGGTGGCCATATGACCTAAGCAACCCAATCAGAGTGAACTGCAGATCTCTGAAAGTGTTGGACCAACAACATAATTGGGGGTGTGGAAAACCATCTCTGAACAGGGAAATCTAAGCAATTATTATTATTAAGTCACTGGATAAAGTCTTAACTTGAGCCAACCAAAAAATTCCCTTCATATTTTCAAACCAATTTCATTCAGGTTTTGAATTACTTCCAAAAATCCAATCTGAGAGATTTTTATCAGGACATTTCTCATTGCAATGTCTCTCATACACAGTATTGTTCCTTTACTCACAGAATGTCCTCCCTCCCTTGTTATTGCTTTTCATCTGTTGGGCATCTGTTATATACCAAGCATCATGTAAAATGTTTAACATTATCTCTTAATAATAAAAACAAATCTATATCCAAAATGTGCAAAAGAAACCTTACTCTCACCATTTCATATACAAGAAAACTCAAGCTCAAAGATATTGAGTAGCATTCTCAATACTACATAGCTAATATCTGGAGCCAGAATTTAAAACCTAGCTCATAAGTACTTGGTATTTCAACTATATGAAGCTGACTGCAATGTGGACCTTGTATTTGAAAGTCTTTGCTCAGGCATCAATTCCTCAAAGAAGCTTTCTATATCCACTTATATATTTCACAGATATCTCTTTCATAGAAAGGAAATATGACAATGTATTATAGCAATATGTTTCTATATTTAGAATAAAAGCTCCATAAGGATAGTAAGATCCAGGTAACTTCAGCACCTCCTACAGTTTACGACACAGGCCAAGTGAGCAATAAATATTTGTGAAAAAAAATGACTGAATAGAGAAACCAAGTCCTATTTATTATAAATTAAATACCATTAAGATAAGCAATTGTCATTATATCAAGATATCCTTTCAGATACAATGTTTCTGAAATGTGAAATCTAGGAAGAAATCGGAAGATATTTCCTAGACACTACATATTTGCGGCTGTACTTACAAAGGGTTACCCAGAAATGTCAGAAATCCAGAACAGTAAATATACATACATATAGTTTCCAAACTAAATACTTTAAATGCATCAAAGGACTTTGTGTTTAGTAAAAGTAGGACACACTTCTTAAGCAGGTAATAAGTCAAATACACTTAAAATAAATTGTACTGCTAGCTTAATTTTAGAACCAAAGTTGTCCAACATAAGTCATTTAATTTTATATATTTACTTCTTCATTTTGTTAATGAAAAGCATGAACCAGACTATATCCTAGATACCACCTAAGCTCTGTGATTCTGCTGTAATTCAAGAATAACACTGGCAACTTCTCTGTTTCCCTGACTACACAAACTAAAAGTAACCTTAGGAACTTTTTCCTATCACACTATTTTAATACTCCGCATAGTACTTACCCCTGACATTTTTCTTATTAATTTACGTATGTTTTACTATCTCTCCGCCAGATTGTAAGTGCCAAAAGAATGAAAAAGTTGCTATGTTTTATCAGCACACCCCAGGGCTTCACACAAAACATAGCAGGCACCCAATAAATATTTGCTTAAGAAGTACTAATACTCATGTAAGATTAATGATGCCTTTTTGCCAAAGTTAAAAAAGCAAATAGTATACTACTGGGCTTGTCCTGCATTTTTCAAATTTTTAAAAATCAGTTTTCCCATACGGTATTATGCACTTTGTCTTAAGTATTAATGTTACGATCAAAAGTTTTAAGACTATTTAGTAACCTCTACTTTGTCAATAAGTTACTTTGAATCCAAGGCAGTAACAGAAAAAAGCATCTTATTAGTTCCAAAATCACCTGAAAACTTTCCCAATGAAATTTCACAGCAACAAAAAAACCTTATCAAATTAAAGCTTAATGAAGCCAAGAAGAACAAGGACGGTAGTCTGTGAAATAATGCTGTCTTCCCATCTCTCCCCATTTCTGTGTGCAGCCAGGGCACCTGGGTATAGACACACAAGTCCCACAGATACTGCCACCATTATTTGGAAACACACAGCTCCTAGTCGACAGCTTATTTCCATTAAAACTTTCCCCAAACTCCTCGGGACTCTCTCCAGACCACAAAGCTAAAAACCTCACAGCCTCAAATTCGCTTCTCTGCCTCCCCCGTCCCGCAATCAAGCCTCTTGAACTTTTCCCTTGGGATTCACACCTCTGCCACCAAGACGTTTTAATTCCGCTGTTCTTAAAGGCCGGCTTCCTCTCACGTACCTGGCTAGGTACTCCCCATCCGCGGAGAGGGGCGCACGCTCGCGCCCCGTCTCCCTCGCCCCCGCTTCTCCTCCGCGGCGCCTGCAGGTGCCTCTCCCGGAGCCGCCGCGCCCCAGCCGCGGGAGGCGGGGCACACAAAGGACCGGCGCGGCTCTCCGCAGCCTCCGCGCATCTTCTCCCCACAGCCCGGCGCGGCCGCTGCCCCGGAGAACGGAGGGCCGCGGGAGGCAGCCGCCTGCTCGGCGGGGACCCGAGCCGTCCCCCCGCCACCCACTCCCCGACCCCAACTCCCACCCGCGAAGGATGCCCCGAGCCCAAACCCTCGCCCGGCAAAACTGAAAGCGCATCCCGGCCCGCGGCCCCGGCGGAGCGCATCCCACCGCCTGCCTCCCCCGCCCGGCCCCGAGAGCGGCGCCCAACTGCCGCCCCCGGCCGGAGCGGCCGCCCCGCCGGCCTCGCACGCTGCCCAACGTCTCCCGGCGCCGGCAGGGCCCCCGTCCCGCCGCCCGGTGCCCCGCGCCCGGGAAGGGCCCGGCCCCCGCCCGCGGCGCCGCACTCACAGGCTGCCGGAGCAGGAGGTACAGACGAAGGAGCCGACCGTCATGTTCACGTAGGTGGGGCCGCGCTGGTCGCAGTCGAAGCACTTTCGGTTGTGCGGGAGGCCGGTCATGTCCCGCAGCATCTTCAGGTGCTTCTCCTCCTGCTTCCGCTTCGCGCTGGCCGCCATGGCCGCGGCGCCGAGGGAGGAGGCCGGCAGGGCCGGGAGCCGGGCGGCGCTGCGCCGGGGGCCCGCGGTCCCACGGGCCGCCCTGGCCGCGCCGCAGCCCTCCGTCGGCACGCGCCGCCCGCGCCGACCGGCCGCCGCGGCTCGGCTCGACTGCGCTCGGCGCGGCGCGGGCGCTGCAGAGCGCGGGCTGACGGGCCACACCAACCGGCCCGGCCGGGACAACCGCCGCCGCCGCCACCTTCCCGACTGCTCCTGAGGGGAAAAGACAAGGAAGGGGCACGGCAAGAGGAGGCCCGCCCCGGGCGGCCGGCGGCCAAGTGTCGGCCGGCGCCCTCTGCTGGCCAGGAGGAGTCACTGCGGCCACGCGCGGCCTGGGCCGGGTGCGGGGCAGGCACGAAGGTGTTAATAATAATACACAGTATTTTCTGAGCGCTTCGTGTGGGGCACCTGTCTCCCGCGCTTAAAACTCTCCAAGGCCTTCCCACTGCTTGGGGATAATTCCAAATTCCTCACTATGCCCAGAAAAGCGCTCCCGCAGCCTCTCCAGAGTCTAGTCTACCTCTGTCACTTCACCCTCCTCTCAGCCACACTGGATCTGAGTCTGCTCCCGAGCACAGCAAGCTCCTTGCTGACTCCTGCAGGACCCTTGTCCTTGCCCTTCTAAGTCAGAGTTTCTCAATCTCGCCACGCAACACTTTGGACCAGTTAATTTTGCGGGTGGCACTTCCTAGCCTCCCCCACTGGGCGCCAGAACGACTCCCCCACCGGTGGTGGCAACCTAAAATCCCCAGACCTGGCCGCAGGTGGAGGGAGGCTTAGGGGTGAGGTCACCTGGTTGAGAACCATGCTGCACACGCAAGGCCAGACAGAGCCTCCTCAGCAGACAGCTTCCCATTAGTCACGTGGGGCTCGGGTGTCACCCCCCTCAGACTGTCCCAGATCAACCTGGCTACTGTTGCAGCTCACCGTCCTCAAAGTTGCTCTCCCGCAAATTGCTCTGTTGCGTTTTCTTCATGGCTCTCGCTGTTTGAAACATTGCATCTTGTTTAGTGTTTACTGTGTGTTGTCTGGGCTCTCCCTTTAGGCTCCCAACAGCTGGTCCGTATTTTCCTCGCTACTCTACCCCTACCCCTCCCAGAGCTGGAGACGAGGTGCTCTGTGTTTGCGGAGTGAATGCATGGAACATCTCATCTAATCTTCACAGCAACCCTTTGAGGCGTTATTGTTACTTTTATTGTACGAATCAGGAAAATGACACACTGGAGGATTAAATGAAATTAGCCAAGCACACATGTGGGGCATCTGGGATTCCAACCCAGACAGTCAGACTGCAGGACCCAAATCTCTTAATCACTGCAGCGGTCAACTGCAGGCAGGACTGTTAGAAATCATCCCTGCCCTGGATTTCCCAAAGGAGTTCAGGGAAACCCAGAGTGCTGAAGTTCTAGAATCACTCAGCTAGTGAATAGGCAAGTAAAAGTAGAATCCGGGTCTCCCCATTGCCAAGGCCAACCTCCTCATCTCCCTTGAAGGTGACGTGGTGAATCAACCAAGTGAGACTTCACGTTAATATAATACTGTTAATAATAATTAGTGTTTTAATATTAAAAGAAAGGAACAGATAGATTGGTCAATAGATTTTTTAAAACTTTTTCTATTATGGAAAATATCAAACTGCCATGAGCCCATGGCCCAACTTCAGTAATTATCAGCTCATGGCTAATCTTGGTTTATCAACACCCTCACCATCCCTCCTGACCCCCTTTTATTATTTTGGAGTGAATTCTAGATATCCTACCATTCAGTTTGTATCACTAAAAAATAAAAAATCTTTCTCTTTTTCAAACTTAGCCATGATATAATTGGCACAGCTAAAAAGCTAACAATAATTCCTAAAAATCATCAAATATTCCACAAGCGTTCAAGTTTGCAATTTTGCATCAATATTTTTTAAAGATTTTTACAGTTAGTTTAAATCCACACCTTGTGGTTGGATACTATGTCTCAAAATGTTTCATTTATTCTATGGGTTTCACCTCTTTCTCTTTTTTTCCTTGCAATTCATTTGTTTTAGGAATTGGGCTCTTTTTCTTGTATAGTGTCTCATAGTTTGTATTGTTTAACATGTTCCTCTGTCCTTTCTACTTCCTAACAATTTTTAGTTGGATCTGATTCACTTATAGCCAGTTCAGTGGGGAGGGGGGCAAAAATTTTATTTCAAAATTTTATTTCATTGTGTTCTTCCACCAGGAGGCACATAACTGGGGTGGAGGGTATCCAAATTCATTAATTCATTAAGGGTTACGAAATGGTGATACTCTAATTCTGTCATTCCTTCTTTGTTTATTGGCTAAAATAGTTCTAGAAAGAAAAAAAACTTCCCCTCATTTACTATGTGGTACAGTTCATGTTCAAAGGTCAGGATAAATGTTTGATTTCTTTCTTTTGTTCACAAATTTTCAAAATAATATCATGGTTTCCTATCACCTTCCAGTGGTAAGCAATATTCTTTGTGTTATTATACAGTCAAGGATTGAAACATATTTATATATTTCATATCCTTGGTGCTCACATTGGCCATTGGGAGCCTCTTAAGGTTGGTTCTTGAGTATTTTAACAAGACCCTTTACTTAAGGTCAACTGGAGCTTTATTCTGGCTTTATAAGTCCTTGGACCCTTCAGAGATGAAAGCACTGGTCTAATCCAAACAGAAGGCTGACTTACCAGCCCCACTCCAGCTAAATATAAGACACGCAACAGTCTCTTATTTATTACCAACAAATGCGCTTACCCCACAGCCAGTAGCTTACTTGTTTCTATATTTGCAAAGCTCACTGGCCATTTGTCCTCTGGTTGCTCATCTCTCCATGGTCTATCTTCTGATGAATTCCAACATCAGAGGGCATGACTACAGCACCCTGTACAAACAGTTGAGTGAATGGTTGTTTCATGATTGTGTTTTTGCTGTTTTGAAGAGACAGGAATAGGTTCATTAACAAACTGTGGATCTACAGTTCAGGTGAAGACGATTTCCTCAAGTAAAGCTGAAAGTTCATATGACCTGCCGAAGGTTGGTTCTTTCATACTATTTATGATACCAAAGTAGGCTTCTACTTTTAAAAATCCCAAGGCGAGTTTGCCGTAAATCAAGACTATTTATTTCCTGTAATTTCCTTAACCCTCACGACAACGCAAAGGGAGGTATTATTATCCCCATTTTACAAACGAGGAAACTGAGGCTCTACAAGGCTAGCTTGCCCAAGGCCACGCCAGAAGTGAGGTAGGAAGCCAGGATTCAAATCCAGATCTGGCCACAAGGCGCCAGCTTCTGCTTCCAGTGACTGGATGCTGATCCTGCTTATTGGATTTGCAAAGAAGAAATTATCTTTAGACATGTTAGCACCGCAGCCAGAGGAATATTTTCAAAATGCAAATGTGATTCAGACATCGCCAGTCCTCTCCCCCTACTTAAGCCTTTCAGGGACATCCCATTGCTCTCAGGATGAATGAAAACCTAGGGGCCTCAGAAGCCCTGCCCTGGCAGCCTCCATCCTGCCCGCTGGGCTAGGCCTCTCCCGCCTGGCCCTGCCCCACTGTGCCCTAGAGTCTTGAGGGGCACCCTAAATCTTTACCACTCTGTTCCAGCCCTACTTCTTCTCACCACAGGGCCTTTACACATGTTGTTTTTGTTTCCAAAAGATGGTCTTCCATCACCTCTTTCCCTTCTTACCCTCAGATCAGCTCAGTATCTGTTTTTCAGACATCCCTCCCTGGGACCTCCCTAAGCAAGCCAGACTCCACATTCTGTGCTCATAGCACCTTGCACTGCTCCCTTGTGACATTTACTGCTTGGGCTATTTACATCGCTTTGTGATGTTCAGTTAGGGTCCCTTGTCCCCTGACCTCCCATACACTGCAGGCTTCATCCAGGAAGGGACCGAGTCTGTGCTTGCTCACCATTATTCCTCCAGCACTTGGCATGGGACTTGGCACTTAAAGGGGCTCAATAGATAATGGTTGAATGAATAAATAAATGCAGCAGTGAGGAGCCAAAGAATAAAGCTTCCCCCATCTCTGATGCAGTGAGTTCAGCATTCTGTGCATTGTTGTCTCCACTGCTTTGGCTCTCAGAAGGACTCCGGTTCTGTCAATGCTGTTTTGGTAAGGAACTTGCAAATTCTGAAATCAAACCTCTAGTGGTAAGAATCTAAAACCTCCCTGTAGGCTGCCTGACTGGCTTAAAGTCTCTTGCCTATCTTATCACTAGGGGTGAGTCAGAGAAAATGTCCTGAACAAACCCTGGTGTTTGGAGAGGCCCCAGGGAGCTGCCAGCTCATCCCAGGCTGCCCCACCCTGCGTGCCTGTGGGCCAGGCCCAGGGAGGAGGCCGCTCTGCGTCTACTTCGGAGCCAAGCAGGACAGCCAACCAAGCATCGCAGGATGCCGGTGGTGGATTCGTCCCTGGAGGGCTTTCCATTTATGAAAGACCTCAATTTAGACTTTTGACAGTATCTCCGAGCTGCCTGCAGTGTCAGGAAGATCCATCAGCAGAACAGAAAGAGGTTGCCAGACACACACGCGTGTGCCCTGGTCGTCCTACCCCACCTGCAATGCGCACAGAGTTCATATTTTTAATAAGTCTTGGACTTGCTTTATGAATAGCACAGTTGCCTTGTTTTTTTTCATTTACTTGTGTATAAAATGGGCTAATTTGTCAAGTTTAACTATTTAGAAATATGTTGCAGTTTTGGGGAGCCCTGGTTTGACATGTTTTCATGGTTTAATATTCTGGGAACCTCAAAAAAAATTGAAGTGGCCACACAGCCTCTTTGAGGCATGCCACCTTCTTCCCTGAGTCCCCACTCAAGCCATCTTTCACCCTCGAGGCATAGAACCAGACTCTCAGGAGCCCCCAAATGCTCCCTCAAGCACCCAGTTCAAGTTGGGTGACTCTAGGTTGTTGAGGAACCTCCATTGTCCATTCTTAGGAGAATTGAGAACACTCTTAGGACATTCTTAGGGTCTTCAGGTCTTCCTTTCCCTCAGCCCCCATGATGCTTGGAGCTGATTTGTATTACAGAAAGGCCTCCCCCCACAGCAATGAACCTTTACAATACAGGGGAACTGGAGCTGTGGGTTTTCTATTTTGATTAACAGTCTTCCCTCCCCTTGGGGTGACTTTTTCCAGCTTTTGGCCAGGAGGCCAATGCTCATTTTTATGGCCCGAGTAAGTAATGCAAAAGAAAAGTCATGTTGGCCCCATTAACTCCCCAGGCTCCAGCCAGTTTCACCGAGTGAATAATCACAGGGCCTCAAGTATAAAGCACAGTGGAATAATAGGCAACTCGATTTTTTTTTTCCTTTGAAAGTACCTTCCTTTAGCTGTGGTTTGATTATTTTTAACATTGCTTCCTGACTTTCTTTTTAATTTGCAAGAAACAGTGAGGTAGAAAAGGAAGAAGGGAAAAAACCTACAGAGAACAGCAGTTGGTGCTCGCCTCCTGGAAATACCAGTGTGGTTTCTGGGTACATTCTGCAGTAGACACCTGAGGGGCACAAGTTCCTCAACACCAATGATGTGGCGTTGACAGGTAAGCACCTGGCCACTTTCTCCCTGTGCCTGCCAAGAGAAACAGAGAGGCCCTCCAGCTGTCTGGACTGTTGGAGACTTGCCTTTTTGTTTTTTTCTTTTTTATCTTTTTTTTTTTTTACCTGGTTTCATTTTCTGCTGTCATCTGGGAGCTTTGTCTCACCAGCTGAATTCTCTGCACTCAGGGAACAGAGACCAGGTCATACCCTTCTGTGTCCCCACTTTGCCAGGCCATAAAAGATGCTCCACAAATCATGCCAGTTGATTGACTGATCCAACCTCAGGCTGTTCTGGAAACCAAAACAATTGCAACCTGACTTCGGTTATCCATTTATCAGAAAGACATTTTTTGGATTTTAGAGGGAGACCAGAAGTAGCTTTCAGCCTTAGCCTTCCTTCCTTCATTCATTCAGTGAATATTTACTGAGCACCTACTACCTGCCAGGCACTGTGCCACACACTGGGGATTCAGCAATGCACAAGACAAAGTCTGCTCTCCTGGAGCTTGTGTTCCTATGAGAGGGAGAATAGACAATAAACACATTCATATAATGAGCCAGGTGATGCCCAAGAGCTCCAACGGAATATGAAGCACAGTAAGGGAATAGAATGTGAAAGGAGAAGATACTAGTAAGTGGTCAAGGCAGGTCCAGAGCAGATGAAGCAGAGGAAATTCTAGGAGTTGTATATATCAGAAGTCACAGGTAAGGGCCAGCAAGCTGACTTAGGCCTCAAATCCCAGCACTCTGAAAGGCCAAAGCGAGAGGATGGCTTAAGGCCAGGAATTCAAGACCAGCCTGGGCAGCATAGCGAGACTCCATTTCGACACAAAACTAGAAAACTTAGCCAGACATAGTGGCCCTCCACCTGTACCCAGCTGCTCACAAGGCCGAGGCAGGAGGATCACTTGAGCCCAGGAGCTTGAGGTTGTGGTGAGCTAGGATGACGCCACTGCATCTAGCCCAAGAGAGAGAGTGAGATCCCGTCTCAAAAAAAAAAAAAAAGAGTCACATGTAAAATGACCTGGCATGGAGGCTGTGCAACCAAGCAGCCTCCCGCCCTTGCTAAGTCTGTGCCAGGATCAGGGCTGCTGGGCTGCCCTAGTCGCCTGTAAGGACTTGAATCCTAATCTGCAGACGCCAAGGGAGAGAGAAAAGGTCCCTTCCTCTGCAGTGGGAAGGGAGTCCGGGATAAGAAATGCTCCATTCACGTTGTCAATGGAACTTTGTTCTTGCCCATTACTGAAAAGAGAAAGGGGATCTTCCCTTCTGGTTCAGGGGAAAGAAAGGGGCCCCTGTGGGGAGAGAAACCTGTTCTGGTTATCAGAAAAGAAATACCAGCAGGGCTTGCTGGGCCTGCAGAAAAGGAAAATGGACCCTCCTCCACAGCCCTTGGTTTTGAAGGGGTCAGATGGAGGTATTTTAAAAGTAGGTCTCTGAAAAAGCTTCATCTCTTCCGTTTTGCATTTCTCACCAAATGCTGGCAGACGGGGCAGTTAGACACCACGGGTGAACTGAGCACAAACACAAAGTAACTCCCTAGCCATAGCGCCACCCGACCCCGGGAAGGGAATCGATTGCCACCTTTGATACCCCAGTAATGACAACTAACGTTTCCTGGCACTGAGCACCCCGTGAATGCTCACAGAAACCTTTGGAGGTAGATTTTATTGTTCTACCCATTTTACAGATGAAGAAACCAGGCTCCCGAGTTGAGCTTGCCAAGGGCACACGGCTGGGAAGTGGTGGCGCTGGGATTTGAAGACCGGTGATTCAAATTCAGGGGCCACAATTGAACCTTTACAGTCAGCACTGCCCTCCCTGTTGGGTCCTCTTCTTGTGACTCCAGCCCTGCCCTACGTTTCAGCAGGAAACACCAGGAGGCAGCTGCTGCTTTCCTGGGTTTGAGCTGGGCCCCGGGGGCCAAACACCCCGGGACATAAGTGGGCTTGCACAGCCTGGGGTTTCTGCTTTATAAGGGGCGATCCACTCCACAGCTTCAGGCTGTGCACTGGGAGAACTGTTCTTACTCAGGAAGTTATTCAGATGATGGAAATTACCTGAAAAGTTACACACACCAAGTTCCCACAGTGGGAACATCCTGAATATTCATTTAGGTAATCGTTGCTGTACGGATCTGTCCTTCTTGAAGGTGCAAAGAACCTTACAGCAAAGTCTACTTCAGGACTGAGGGAGCCCCTAGAGCGAGTTTACAGGAACAAGCTCATAGCCATTGTTACCAGAAGGACACCCCCACAGTTTCATCATTAGTCACCGTCCCAGCCCTGGGCCTATTCATGATTCAGAAGGTTCCAGCAAGGACAGAATGAGAAAATATACTCAGCACGGCACCTGGCGTATACATAAGCACTGCTATCATTATTCTTATTGTTTTAAATGCTGTACCCACTAATTCCCTCTCCACTCAGTGTGTGTTACCTGTCAGGTGCAAACTCAACCCCAACTGCAATTTAGCTGCAATTTTCCAGAAGCTTCTATAAGCGAACCACCCTTGCGTGTGGCTACACTTTGACCGAGCATTGCTGTACTTTGCGTGGTTGAAATCCCTTGTGGTCTAAGCTGTCTGAAAGGCAGTCAGTGGTGTGCATGAGCAACTGTATTTTACTCAGTTCACACAAGTTTTTATTTGTTCTAAGTAAATATCTGACTGTGGCCAGGTCAATAGACTCTGCGGATGACATGCTGCCACCACGGAAACGACATGTTCACTTATAGATGTTTTATTAATAATCTGCGGAGGAAGAGGGGAGAATATGTATCTCTGTGTGTTTAGAAAGCGGGGTGTCAAATTTCCTTTGATCAGACCTATGTGTGCAGAAACGAATACAACCAGTAAAGCCAAAGTTCCCTTGTCCACCTCACACAGTCCCCAATCGGCTCCCCTCTCCCAGCAGTAGTGTCACGTCCTTACCTTTCCAGATCTTTCCTTGCATGCTCTTACATGCATATCCAACATATCTCACCTACTTGACAATAACCACATTTGCTGAACGTGGCCGTACCGCAGAACAGCAACCCCACATTCTGCAGGCTCGGTTGCGGCCAGGCAGCCGTGGACCACAGCCAAGACAAGGCTGGCTGCGGCCGCCACCCCCCGGAGCCCCAGAGAGCATCGCCTCACCCTCCCAAGAGCACTGCCTCTGATTTACAGTCATTAAAAGACAAGAAACCTTCTAGAACGGTGATTCATTTTTCATAACTCACAGGCTTTCAGGGTAATTTTAACAACTGCTTCCCCTTTCTCATGCGGGTTACATTTCTTGTCTCCTTTAGACAGCGACAAGTCTGATTCATATGGGCCCATTCTCTATGAGGACTGGAAGTTGCCATCTGAAGTGTTTTGCCACATGTTTGAGCTGTGAGCTTGACGCACAGTTATATGATTACCTGAAAAGGGATCTTCACATAGAAAGTTTCAAACTGAAAGAATATTAGAAATCACCTAGGCCAGCGACCCCTTAAAAGGTTTGGAGTTCCAGCCCCCTTTGAGAATCAGGCAAAAGATACCAACCCTTTCCTTCCCTGAACTATGCACCAAAGATATAAAATATCATCTCAGGCTGGTCCTTATGCCAAGGTTAAAATGCCCCTCAACTTACTAAAGAAAATGAAGGGTCCTGGTGGCAGAACCAGAACAGGAACCCAGGTTCTCCATGACTCATCACCTCCCCAAGGTTCTCTCTGTCTCAGTCTGAAGTCCCTGTTTGCCTGCGGGGGCAAGAAAGGTGGGGAGGGGGGAGGAGGAGGGAGCCCTGGATTTATGGAGGGGGATGGCCAGGGGAAGGGGGCACTCCAACTTCTAGACCTTAGACACAGACAATGGACTCCTGGAACATGGCACTCCTCCCTCCTCTGCCAAGGCCAGAACAAAAGAAAGCAGCTTTACATTAAAGCAATCAGGCCTTGGTTAACACAAGGAGAATTCATTTTAAGTAACAATCTTTGCATTTCTGAAAGGAGTTTATATCATGTCCTCTTCAAGCCTCTTAAAAATAGAACAGCATCTTTCTGCGATGGTTTGGATGCAGACAGACACGAAGGCAGGAAGGCTGACTTGCCAGGAGTGTTGCCTCCGTGGTCCCTGTACACTGCTCCTGCCTTCTTAGCACAGGGCAAGCAGCACTTACCCACATGGTACCGGTACCATTTCCACCCAACGCCAGGCATAGCCTTGAAATCCTTTGCAACCAACTTGTTGCACAAGTTACTGCAAATGAGCCCATTAGGCAGTGAGGTCTACACCCTGTTTGCCATCCTCTGTCTACACGACCTTCCCACCTTGCTTCTGGTCTCTTGTGGTTACATATTTCCCCACAGTCTCATTTAAACTTTCTGGTGGCTTTACTTGGTTCAGCAGAGGCCCAGTGACCTCTCTTTCTAGGGCAGTCATCTCTCCCAGGATTTCTTCTAATAGCTGCACTCTCAGTCATGTGAAATAATTAAGAGAGCCCTAAGTATTCTGGCTTCTAACTTACTTATGTTTACATAGACTATGTAGATAGCTCTTCAGAAGCATCAAGCTCAGTATTATCATTGCCTTCCATCTTGTGTCTTAATTTTTTGATCCCTTCTTGTGTATCTGTGATTGTTCTCCCTCCCTCCCTCTCTCTCTCTGTCTCTCTCTCTCTGTCTCTCTCTTTCGCTCTTCTCCCCTTCCCCCACCCCCATCTCTCTCTGGACTATATCTCTAATGTTAGACTTCGGAACAGACTGACACAGTCTAAGCTGCATCATGACAGTTCAAAGACAACAACAGAGTAAGATAAGATACCCTGTATGCATCTATCATGTCAATGAGATACACTGAGCATAGAGCTCCTGCCATCCCACTTCCTGATTCCCTTCTTTGCTTATATTACCAAGCATTCCAGCACTATTTCTGGAACTTTCCAGCCTTGTGTTTCCCTCCATGCTCCTCGACTTGGTGATTGTGCTCTGTGACGTAGTTACTGCACTGTCCCCACAGGGAACAAGCAAGTTAGCCTATAGGGACCTAAAGCTCTTCTGAAGTGGAAGCAGCAGCGTGCTAGGGGCATTGCAGCCTGCATCAGGGAGGGCGATGAAGTTCCTGTGCAAGGGATGTAGCCCAGGAGGTTGGTTGACCGGGGGGTTTTTTTTTTTTTTTTTTTTTATTTTTTTGTTTTTAGTTTTGTTTTAAACCATTTAAACCAGCTGTGGAACGGTGCTCATGCCTGTAATCCCAACTCTTTAGGAGACCATGGCAGGAGGATTGCTTCAACCCAGGAGCTCCAGACCAGCCTTGGCAACAT